TAGACTGCAGCAGGTGGAGAAAAAGAGAAGTACACAAAAAGAGTGAAGAAGAACAGCATGTAAGCATGCATCTGATATGATGCTCTCCTTTTTTCAGTGTTTTCATCTGATTATTATTATTACAGAGATTATAATCCCAACCTGCAACTCAAGGACCAGCGACTAACCCAAAACTGATGCCGGGTCATAGGTTGTAACCCACAGTCCAGGTTCAGCTTCATCCTAAAGTTGTTGGATGAAGGTACAAAACTTTAAGATTCTTCGAAATAAAGGGCCCACATCAATCAACCGCCCTGTTTTCAGCATGCTTTAGCTTGTGTAGCGTGCATTAACAGAACAAGCATAGAGCACTAAGCACAAATGAAACAGGCACTGAGTGACAAGAGACACAGTGAGGGCGGGAGGAGAGCGTGAGAGAGAGGAAGAGAGAGAGAAAGCGGCAAGCAGAAAGCTCATAGCTAAGGAGCGAGAGCAGCATCAGAAGAAGAGGATCGCTTTAAAAAGGACAAAATAAGGAAAAAACAAAAAAGGAAACTCACCAGTCCTGCTGATGGTCATACGTCAACTTTAAGTGGCTAAAATCTCAGTGAGTAGGAGAGAGAGAGAAAAGTAAATTCATCACCACCATGAAGCTGTGGAGCCGTGTCTGCTTCCTCGGTGAGTTTAACTCAACTGTCACGCAGCTTTCATCTCTGATTTCACGCTCTATTATCTCGCTAGAGGAAGTTTGAATTTGTGGTAAGTTAAAAATAAAATTAAAAGGGAACAGAAAAGCTTGCGATCGGGGTCCTTGTGCGCGCTCAAAAACTCAGAAGCTTTCAAGGGCAACGTTCAGATTGTTTTTACGGTCAGACGCTGCAGGAGGCTCGAGTTTTTGCTCCACATCAAACCTTTCTTTGACCAACACAAGGAAAGCCTTGATTTGCTCTTAAATCTGCACTTGCATGCATTTGATTACATTTCAGCGTCATTCAGGGACTCGAGAAGCATGACATATCCAGGAAGTAATCTGGGAGCACACGAATCTCGCCATACACACGCCCTTCTTTGAATCTGCTTTTTGTGCAAATCAATGCAAATATTAACAGATTAGCAAAATGTATTAATTCAACATGAGGCTTTTCTCTTTAGCTATAATTATTTGAATTATTTGTCAACCACAAAAAACGTGAATGCCCCTGTAAACATGAAAGTGTTTTGGTTGCTGTAATTACTATAAATTAGGACCACAGAACATGTATGCAGTACATATAACAATGTAATATACAGATAAGGTTTGCAGCCTTACAGAGGAACTTTGGTAGAGAGGTCAAAGGTCAGAGTGCAGAGTGACTGAAAGTTTGTAACTGACTGATTGATACGATTTAAAATGATATATCTCCTGTCCTGCTTCTCTCACCATTCTCTGCTCTCATTTTCACACCAGCTGTTCTGTTTTTCACACGTATTTGCAGCAGCAGTTAACAAGTGTGCTTTGTCAAACAAGTGACCGTAAATGAGCATGTTTAGTTGGTTTGTGTATCTCACACTGGCTAGCCACAGAATCTGGATGACATTTACTTGTTAGGGTAAAGTGTAGAATCATGTTGCACACCCACAGTCTGCGTCCTGAGGCAATTTTAGATGTTTTTATTTAATTTGATCTCTTTCCATGACTAACTGGCTCATTTTTAACCTCATGTTTATCTGTTGCTCATTCTCTCTCTTTGTTTCAGTTCTAGCAGTTTCTCCTATTTGCCTGGGACAAAATGGTGCAAGTCATGTGCAACCCAACGGTATGTTCCACGGGAAATTAGAAAATTATTTAATTAACATAAAACAAGCTGAGAATATCAAGGTTCTTGCATACCACAAGTCCAAATACAGATGGACCTGTGGTATGAAAATGAGAAAAAGCAAGAGTCTGACTTTTTGAAAGCATTTGGATAATTCTCTGATGTCCTTAATATGTTTTGTTTATGCCTGTAAAGTCTATGAACCCTTACATGTAATATTAGGCTGTAGAAATAAAAGTCACTTGATCTGATAACCTGAAAATCAAATTATATTGATTTCCTTTCTGGTGTAAAGTAGAGAATATTGGAGTATTTTTGTCCTTAAAAAAGTAGCAATGCTACAGTATAAATGTCCTCTGTAATAAGAACAACTCATGTATTGTGTAAATCTATTCAGATTTAGACACTAACCCCTGAACCTGGTCAGCACTCTGTAGCTTCTTAAACTACCATAAAAATCTGCATTGGTTTATCTTCTGAAGCAGACTGCTGTTTCTCTTGTGTTGTTGCATAACTGTGTCACTCAATTAATTTTTTGTATCACTTCATTATTTGCAGAGTTGTAATAGTTTATTATTTTACAGTGCTATTTTCAGAGGGGGGAGGTTAACTGTGGCTCAAAGTGATTTTATGCATCTCTCCTTTATGTCAGGTACAGTTTCTCCTGTCCCCTCAATCGCTGCCACATACGTTTTAAATGGAACTGAAAATAAGATGCAAAATGACACAGACCCTGAGAGTACTACAGCAGAGGAAACAAACAGTATGGTAAGTCAATTATCTCAAAGTTAAATAGCAAATCTTGGTTCTCAAAGTGTAAAACGACAAAGTCTGGTTTGGGAATTCATGCTTATGAGTTCACATTATTGGCATCCATTCAGTGACCATAAACTTCAAATAGGCTTTATTTTAAGAAGGGAATAAAAAGTAACATCCACAGCAGTCTGGTTCTTTTTAAAGTGCAAAAAGCCACCTACTCAGGCTTTATGCACAGTTACATGGTGGAGCTATTTCCTGGTGCACAACATGCAGTCACTTCCTGAAGTCTTGTTGTCACTATGAAGCTGCGTAGTTAAAAGCAGAGTAGCTGCACAGACGTAAAGAGAGTTGGAGAACCACAAGCTGTCGTTTACTGCCTTTAATCACAACTCTGATCATCACACAACATAAAGAGCAATTATTCAATTTCTGTTTTCACAAATTCAGTTTAATCTTTGACTTGATTCTCCATCAACAGCTTTACATCCCAAATAGTTATTTTCAGCTACTGATGAAGAAAAATATAACAGTTCAGCAAAGGATGAATAACACTGAGCACACCAATTTCATAGCTTTGTTTAATTCCTTTTAAAATGTAAATAATTAATTAAAACACCCAAGTCAAGGTAGGATACCAAAAGTTAAATTATTATTTTATTTGCCAAAGCTCATAGTAGTAAGTTAGTATTACTAGGGGTGGGACTTGATTAAAAAAATTAATCTAATTAACTGGAGGCATTGTAATTAATTAATCTGATTTATTGCATTTAATCACACAAGAAAATTTGCCCCAAAGCGCAAATGTTTTTTTAATCCAAAATGTTTTAGTGGGCGACAAAATCAAATAATAGACATGGACATGAATATTGTGAACTTAAGCACTTTTAATTTCTGGAGAGAAAAAAATAGAAAAAAAATAATATCCCTCTCCAAAATTGGGCAGACTTAAAAATAAAGTGCTATTTTAAGTACTTTAAGTAAATTTTCGAAATGGTATTGTCTTTAATTAATAATAATAATAATACTTGTTTCAACATAAAGTGCAGTTTAAAAAAATAAGGCAAAAACATAAAAGGTTATTTGACCAGCTTCACCTTTAAACTCTGAGTAACCTTTGCCAACATTATTTTAACATTAGGCTAAAACAGTGTGATCATCGAACATTTCAGTGCAAGAAAATAGCAAACCCATTGGACTCACTATACCTCCATGCTTATTTACTGTCGGTCTCTTTCAGCCAGTTACTTAGACAAACTAACCTGTTCACACTTTCAAGACAGCTCTCTTTTTTGTTACTATGTGAGCTGCAAATGAGAACAGTCTCCCACATGGGACAGAAGTGGCAGCACTAATCAAATACCAGGACAGACAGCTGTGGGTAGGTCCCTGCTCGACTGGACCACCACTGCAGTGGACAGTCTGTCTTGCTGATGAAGACAATGAAGAGAGGAGGAGGGTCTTTGTCTTTGCTGGCTCCTTTGTGGTGGCATTTTTACACTGTTCCTGCAGCAGGGCCTCAAGGCTGGTCCAAGCCTCTTCTCGCTCTACCCTTGCAAGACATGTGAAGTCCTTAAAGCGTGGGTCAAGCACAATAGCTATCTTGAGCCACTGATGGTTGAGTGTAGCTACACGTTGGGATAGATCCTTTGTGAAGGCAGTCTTAAATTTCACCATGTGGTTTGAGTCATCATCAGAGACCATGTTGTGATGCAGGCGGCAGAAAGCAGGTAAAACCACTGAACATGAGACACATGTCTCACCTCCAAGAAGCTCAGTCACAAACCGGTAGTACAAAGTTCAAGAAATTCATTATTTATCCACATAATAACTGTAACTATAGGGCTTTTTGAAGAAACTGTTAAAAATAGTTTTATTTACCTGCATGGCTCAAGGACAGTCGGCAGCTTTAGGAGTTTTACCAGCTCTGATGGAGTTAAAATGACTAGCTTGTGCTTTTGTTTGTCTAAAGCAGTAAAAACAGCCTCTTGATTCTTTAATAGACGAGAAACCAAATCCAGGGCTGAATTCCACAGTGTGGAAACATCCTGTATGAGTGGCTCTTTCTGTTGCCCCAGTCTTGTTTGTTCCTGGTGTAGTTCCTCCATATTAGCAGGGCTGTCTGTAATGCATCTAATTTTGCTTATTTATCAATGTCAAAAAGCTGTTGAATTTTACTTAAAATAGTCTTTCGCCATGGCAGTTAGAAAGTTGGATCACCTGACGCTAACTGTAGCACATTTTCTTGTACATCTTCTACCACTGATAGTGGTCTACAGTCCAGAGCAATCCATCCAAAGTTTGTTGACTTACTAATATTGGTCCTGAAGCCTGAAGTTTGGGCTGCCGACACCTTTTGTTGGTACTTGGACTGCTAGCGCTAACAGCTCCCATAGTTTCTGCGCTCGCTGCAACATGTTTTGCATTTAGATGGTAACATAAGGTTGAAGTGCTACGGTGGTATGCAAACTCCGTTTTGCACACTTTGTACAAAACCATGCTTTTACCAAGGCTTCCCTCGAGTAGTCTTTTGAAATGAAATTTGCCTCCAATCAGTCCTAGCAACACAATTGACTATGTGCACGTTAGCATATGCTACTTCCGGTGCGGAAACTCCTGTGGGGGAGCTTTGTTTCCGGAGTTTATGGACTCTGATGCTAGTTTAAAGTCATATTGGACTCAACATAATGTCCTTTTTTTAATTTATAGTCTAATTTGAGTAAAATAGATGAGAAAGGAGTGTATGAATTAGGTTGTGGCTTCTGCACGAGTATGCAGTGAGCTCGGTTTCACATCCAGACTCATCCTTCAATGGTGACGTCAAATTTCAAAAAAACAAGATGGCGTCTAGAAAAGTTTTCAACTCAAGCCTTCGAAATAAGACTTCTAAAACCACTGGGTGATACCACGGTGGCTACAGTCACCTTTATTTTTTTTTATTCACAGTCTATAGACATGGCTTCCCACATCAAAAAATAACTCACTTGAACTACAAAGACTCCTCACAGGAAGCCTTTTGAATCAGAAACTACTGCTGTACAGAGTCACATGCCTTCATATTCAATGAGTGAAACAGAAATCAGGCAGATTACAGGATGAAATGTTTACAACCAAAGGATGTTTGTTACTCTTCACAGCCTGGAGGCACAGTGGCTACTACTCTAACAAGTACTAATGTACCAACAAAAGAGACTACCAGCATAGTCACACAAGGAGGAGCAGACCGTGGTGGTAAAATGACTCAAACGACACCAAGTACCAGCTCAGGAACTACAGGTACCGTCACATATTCAGAAAGCGCATGCACAAGTTCTGCGCCCCAAGTTGTCTTCCTGTGCATCAAACCACAACACTCGCAGGCTCACACGCTCTGTAGCTGTAAGCAGGCTGCAGACACAACCACTCAAACACTCTCACCCTATTCTAACACACCGTCAAACTGAATATTCAGACACAGTGGCACGTCACCGTATCACATAAAAGGACCACAAAGCAGCACACTTGTACCCCTTTTTTCCTCTTTCTTTTTTAAAATTAGGACTTAAATATCAATTCAGGTTAATCATTTGAGCCATATTGTCAAGCAGAAGGAGTAAGTTTCTGCTTGACTTTTGATCTCTTGTATCTAAAATGATATATAGTGCTCAAAACAAACATGTAACATGTAAAACATCTTTATCTATCATTATCTATCATTTTAAAGACAATTAAAACAATAAAGTTAACTAAGATTTAGAATAAGGGTTAGTCACATTATAAATAATCCAAAAGAAGCAACATATCAGCAGAAATATGTTTGGAAATCACAAAGTCAACATGAAATAGAAATAGGTTCATTGCTTTATTTAAACTTGGCCATTAGCTAGATAGTTCTTGTTGTGGATTATAAAAAGTAATTTTAATGTATAGTAGAGAGAAAAACATATCGTCCTATTGAAAATAGAAATACACTCCAAGTTCAGTTTGAACTTTGTTGGACAGCCTGCAATCGAACCAAAGTTCAGGGTATTTTAATTTGCAGGTTTTAGGGTGTTTCCTATAGACAGGACTAAAACAAAGGCAGACCTGGTGAGGGGTAGATAGAAAAGTACGTAAGTAGTAGATATAAAAGTATCATTGTAATAAAATTGTAAACAAACAAGTATTAAAAGGGGCCCAGTACTGATCCTTGTGGAAAACCTTAATCGATTCTTTGGGATATTAAACCGAAATAATCCTTAAAGTTTGTTTTTTTTGAAAAGCAGTTTCTGAATAGTAATCACATGGATACTAACAGGACATATGGATAGATGGAAAGGAGTTACTGACTTAAATTGAATCACTATGCTTAAATAGTGCCTGCTAAACAGAAAGTCACTTGTAAATGTTGCAAATTAACTAAAGCAAAATCAAATGCTCATCCTCTTGTAATTTAAATATTCAGACATATGCTACGCTTTTACCTATAAAGTGAATTTGCTTCACTTTTCCATTATAAAAAAACATAAACTGACTTTAGCTGAATTACTGAGCCTGCTGTTTGTTTCTTTTAGCACCCCCTCCAGCTGGCTCGTCTGCAGGTAAGAATCTTTATTATATTATCTATTATGTATTTAAACATCTGTCTGTTTTATTCTGCTATCATTTTCAACTGTCCAAATGGACACTAATGTTGTAGTGAACTTCTTAAAACTACAGTGGCCAGTAGTTTCAGTGGTAATAAATAGGATCTAGAATCTATATTTTAAAAAAACAAAAGAAAAAACAAAACAGTGAAATTTTTTAGATGTTAACGGATTTTTGGCACATATCAGTGGTTTCCTTTGAGCTGCCTTGGGTTGTGACTGGCAGCACTTACTCAGGATGTTCCTGGTTACCACTACTCAGCCACAGTTCCACCAAAGTTTTGACACGACATGCCACACAGAACACTGGCCAGTGCCAAAAGTAGGCTAGATTTGGCTCAAATATGTATGCTGCCTGGGCGAGACACCTTTTAGTTTTTCTTACTTGGTGGGACTAAAAAAAAATCAACCATAAAAAATGCTAGTGTCCCCCTGTGGTTGCAATGCTGATTACATGATAAGAAATTGACACTGTAATTTCTCTACAATTCTACTTTTGCATTTTTAAATACTTTTATATTTTTTTAAGTGATGTTCTAAGGAGTTTAACAATGTAAGAATAACAGCATAATATTAATTTTTAGAGCCCATTCCCTTTTTTGGGTGGTCCCAATGTTATTACCACTTCTTTTAAAACAGCTCTGCTTATCTTTGTCTCTAGGTTATGTTGTCCTGGCGCTTATCATCATAGTGATTATAATTCTGTGTATCATCCTCTACCTCTTGAGGCGAGCCTCCAGGGTAAGAAAAAGAAATGGAAGTAGAAATTGTTTTCTGTGCGCTTAGCCTTTGCTTATTATATTACAATTAAAACAGGTACACACACATCATGTTCGCTTATTAGCATCTTGCTTGCTTTTTTGTTTGTTTGTGCAGACATATTCATTTGACCTCCAGCGTCCAAATCCTGTTGGTCATCTCAACCAGCCCACTGGCACCTTTGAGCCAGTCTACCTGGATGATCTGGGTGTGTTTCTGTGGAATTACATTTTATATATACATGTCTGCACTTAAGATAATCCTAATGAGTTTGCTTTGGCGTTTGTATGTGTGTCACATCTCAGAGCGACCGGTACCTAAAGATATTGAAGCCACCGATGACCTTTCACCTCCACCGGTCGCTAATGGCACGAGTCTACAGTCGGAAGAAAAGGACTCCACTGGAGAGAACGGTACAAAATGAAACTGTTTTTCAGAAGTACAGATACCTGAAAATTCGACTTAGGTATAGTAACTATGTATTTGTACTTCATGACTTCTTGCCTCTGAGTACTGTGAATGCATTGTCATTTACAAGAAACCACACTGAGAGATTTGAGCTTTGTGACACTGTGTTTTACTCATGATCAGCATCAACACTAAAGTAGGATTTAAACAATGCTCTGTTTGTAATACGCGGCCCAGAGAGGTCCAAGAATATATGCCTCCACACTACGCCATTATTTCTAAACAGCCTAAACTACAAGGCAAGATATTTTGCCATCAATAAGTTATCTTTTTAGAAGTAAAGTAAAATTCTTTGGGTAGGACAGAGACACAGTAAGATTGCAAATTACAAATAAGATTGCAAATTACATGTTTCGAAAAAAGTACTGTATGTTGTGGGAAGGGCTTTAAACTACACTAAATAATATCTTTAGCATTGCGGGGATTACCCAAAACTCTGCAGCACTAAAGAAAGTTACACCTTATCTTACAAATCCTGTTTGTCTTCTGTTTGACCTCTCTACTCAGCTCCTGAGGAACAGCCAGAAGCAAACGGTGTGGAGACTTCACCCGCTGAAAACACCACTCCCTCACTGAGTAGCGATGAAGCTGACAAGATATCCAACCCACCAAGCAGTACCAGCCTTTTCTTTGATGCTATTGGGGAGCAGCAGAATGAAAACAACAACAACCCAAGTAAGATTTTTCTTTAATAATGCAAATACAAACACAAAGCAGTACGGTCATTTCTCTATTGTATTTTCAGAAATCATGCAGGACTTGCACGAGAAAGTTTACCATGAAGCTCCAAAATATAACTCGCTTCTATGTATGTCTAAAGACAAAACATGAAATATTCACTGAAATTCTTTGTATACATATGGCTCAACTCTTTATGGTAAATGGCCTGTATTTGTATAGCGTTTTACTTTACACTACATCCAGTCATCCACACATTCACACACTGGTGATGGCAGCTACATTGTAGCCACATCCACCCTGGGGCACACTGACAGAGGCGAGGCTGCCGGACACTGGCGCCACCGGGCCCTCTGCCCACCACCAGTAGGCAACGGGTGAAGTGTCTTGCCCAAGGACACAATGACTGAGACTGTCGGAGTCGGGGCTCAAACCGGCAACCTTCCGATTACAAGATGAACTGCCAACTCTTGAGCCACGATTGCCCCTATATTTATTCCAATACGTGCTGCTAAACAAATTGTTTAATGCGGCAAAGAAAACCTGCCAGTTGTAGTCAACCATGATTACAATTAAAAATTTAATAGGCTTTATCCTTGTCAGACTATTTACCATGACATTCATGCCGATAATGAGTGTATGGAAACGTCCAACCACAGCTGTATATGGGACTCTTACTGTGGTCGCTGGTCTAAGGAGTGATGTGAATTATGTCTCCCTCATCAATCCCTACCTCCAAATGTGGACTTTTTTCCTGAAATGTTTTTACTTCATGCAAAATTCAAAAGGTAGACCTACAGTAGCAACAGGTCAGTGACCAACTGAAGGTAGAGACCATTTGGCTTTAAATGAAAATGTCTGCATTTTAAAAGTGTTGGCTGCAGAAGTGATCCATCAGTTTTACTCTAAAAGTGAACATTGTCTGTTTCTGTGGCACTTTTTTAATGTTTTACTGCTGCACAGTGATTAGGTGTTTGCAGATAAGTTGGCATTTTCCATTTTGCAATCCACTGTCTTCTTCAATCCCAATCTTTGTCCTCTCTCACAGCAGTTTGCTCCAGTGACCCATTTGTTGAAATAAACCTGGACGAGCCGGCATGGTGTGATCAGCTCCTCAATGCTTCTGAAGGTTCTTCCTCGGTCTTCCCCTTCTCTCCATTCTCCTTATCCTCCTCTTCCTCTTAGCACCTTGAATGTTATCCTCTTCCATCAACATATAGGCAGAGACTGTCTTTCGTAGCACATGGACATGAGCACAACATGTGTTTTTTCCCCAAAGCTAGTATGGATTGTGAAGTGAACAACCAAGGAATTAACATCAACCTGTAAACATGAAGCTAGCTTTAACTGATTTCTTATTGTGTTTTTATATGTTTTTGTTCAAATTTATTGGTCTCATTTAGTATTTTTTCTAAGACTATATGAAGGACTTTAAACTGATTTTAATTGAATTGTTTGAAACTGAGCAATTTGGGAAGCTCAAAGAGGCAGTCCAAAATTGCATCGAAGAAAAAGAAGGATTGAAGAAATGTTAACTCTTTTTACCCAAATCACAACTTTTCCTGCATTTAACTGACTTATTATTATTGTTGCCTAACCACACTGCAAACTTCATACCAAAGGAAGTAAAATAAGCAAGGTAGCTTATTTGTGACATCTAGACTAAGCAATAACGCCTGAACTTTTTTTTTTTTTTCCAAATGTCATCACTTCATGAGCGTATAGATTGGCTGCAGTTCCTCTCAGATCTAACATCCTTTGAAGTAGGCTAAAGTTTTCTCAGAAGAGATGTTTGGTTTTAAGTCAGATTATTTTTGGGGAAATTAGTGTGTACAAAGTACTCATATAGGAAACAGGTGATTAACTTTTTGTACAGTTTAATATTGCAATAATAAGTTATGGTTGTAATCCCAAGACGCAAATGGACATACACAAGAATGATGCTTCATTTGGGAACCACATCTCATTACCAATAAACATAAAACTAGCTTTAACGCTTCCTTATGATTTTTTTGTTTGTTTTATACATTATCAGCACATCAAACTTAAATCAAATGAGTTTTTTCCTAAAATGTAGCATTTTTCTACTTCATTTTATTTACTAAAGCATCATAAAACAAGATTAAAGTTAACTTTAGCAGCGACAACTGTTACTCTCAAATTATCGATGTAGGCTAGTTTCCCCTAAACCTACAGGGAGATTTGTGAAATCTCTGAACTATAAAAATACACTCTGTGTCATAATTGCTGTAAATATTTTTGTACACGATATATTTTTTTTAGTAGAATACTGTGAATTATTCACATTTATTCAAGTTCTATATTTTAATTTTGTGACTCTGAAGGTTTCCATTCTACTAGATGTCTAAATGCTTTCGTTTTTTTTGACCTACATTTATTTTGTCATTTTTTTAATAAACTGGTTTCTTTTCAGAAGTTAACTAAAAATACATTTCACCACTGCCATTTTGCTCAAAGTGCTAATTCAAACTGATATATAAATATATAATTTTCTGACTAATGTTAAAAAAACAAACATTGAGAAGTGTTATTTTGTTTCATGTTAAAAATCAAATTGATTCAAATAAAACTATTTTTTTCAGAATTTCACTGTTATCTCTTCTTCATTCTCTTTATTATCCTGATGGTTAAAATGTCTCTCACTTAACTAATTTTTGGGTTTAATTCCATTTGCTGCCTTACTCACACCAAACCTTTTCAGAAAGTCATCTGTATATTCTTTGGTCCATATCAAAACTATAAAACAATTTTGACTTACCTGTCTGTGAGTATTTATGCTTCTTCTTGTGGCCATGGCCCTCAGGTCTCAGTGTCTTCAATCACTTTATTAGTGTTAAATAGCTGATGTTTTGTTTTTGTTGATTTTTACACAACACAGAAAGCCTTGATCAAGCCAGTATTGTTTCTTCACAGAGCCAGCACACCATAACAAAAAATACTTTTGCCAAATCCTATAATTAACTTCTTTAATGATCATTTTGCAGGTTGTAAAAAAACAGAAAATACATTTTAAACAAGAAATTGGAATTAAATTATTTGGTGTTGATGAGATGTAAAATCATCAAAGAAACTTGGATTTATTACTTGTAATCTGAGAAACTCATCTCTACAGCTATAAATAAGTCTTGTGTCTGCACTTTCTTTCTGAATTATGGCAAACACCACATCAGAGGTGGTGCTGTCACTGCCATTCCCAACTGTGTTGGGTGTTAAAGTCGATCTCTGAGTTGATCAGAAGCTGCTGTAAAAGACAAAAAAAGAAAGAAAAAAAGAAGAAGAAAGAAACAGTTAACATATGTTCATGTCCAGCATGAGCACATTTTGATGTTTGTCTTACATGCATGAAATGTGTTTTAATTATGAAAGCTGATCTGGACTAATAATAAAATTCTCAACAATTAAACTCCATCAAGTGCAGATTAAAAGTCCAGCCAGTGAAAGAGTGAAAATTGAAAAATCGATTAATTCTACTGAATAAACTTACCAGTGATTTTGAGATCACATTTTGCTGAACCTGAGGAGTAGTTAGTAAACACTGCACAAACATAAAGACCCGAGTCATCAGTCCTGAGTCTGGACAGCTGAAGTCTGATTCGTCCTTCTCTGAGGGCGTCTTTGTCACTCTGGACTCGTCCTGAAAACTTTTCATCCCGAGACTCTGACACCTCAAAATAATGAACAAAATTGTACAAGACTACTATTTTTTCTTCAATTTTCTGATAACAGAGGACACTAATCAAAGACATGTCATCTATGATGGTGAACGTCCACTCCAGTGTGATGTTGTGGTTCTCCTCTGCCTGATAGCAGGTCTGTGTCACATTGACTACAAATGATCCTGTTGAGGAGACAGAGAGGGAAAGAGAGGAGCAGACACACTGAGAACTGCAACAAATCTGTTGTTGAGCTTAATCATAAAGTGAAGCTGTAAACTAACCAGAGACACATGAGGTGAGGATGATGAGCAGCAGCATCCTGCAGATCATCTTCTCCCTGTGAGAGGAGACAGAGGTGAAGAGTCATCAAAACATGAGGTCAAAGGTCAGTCAGTACAGCTAGAAGAAGGAAAATCTTCAGTCTGACTTCATTCACTCATCACAACATCTGATTCTGTTCATGATGCTGATTATTACACTGACTGACTAAAACTACATGAACTACAAACACAGCATTGGAAGCAACCAGAAGAAAAATTTGACATATTTTTTTTTTATATTCAGAGTTGCAAAAATATATATCTGACACAAGGTTTTCTATATGTTTCAACATATAGAAAACGGCAACACTGTGAAATCTGTTTTCTGTGATGGTGTTTAAAGGAGTGTTTACCATCCAAATGTAGATGCTATTTTTGGCCTGTATTTATACAGCCCTTTACTAGTCCCTAAGGACCCCAAAGCGCTTTACACATTCAGCCTTCCACTCATTCACACACACATTCACACACTGGTGATGGCAAGCTACATTGTAGCCACAGCTACCCTGACAGAGGCGAGGCTGCCGGACACTGGCGCCACCAGGGCCTCTGACCACCACCAGTAGGCAGTAGGTGAAGTGTCTTGCCCAAGGACACAACAACCTAGACTGTCCGAGCCGGGACTAGAACCAGCAACCTTCTGGTTAAAAGACAAACTGCCACGATCGCCCTTTTTATGAAAATAAGTTCGAAATCAACTTGCACCATAGTTCTCTCTAGATTTTTTGAGCTTCATTTCAAGGATTTTTTTTTGTACCTGTTACTTAAACTGAAAATTTTTTTAAACTGTTTAAATACTTTGCTACAGACACACAGAATGAGCTACAGTCCTCTAAAAGCATTATGTTAATGACACAACCTCTTTAACTCTTTAAAGCATTAATCATAAAATAATTGGCAGAAAATTAGAGTGAAAAATGTAGTGTTTATTGAACCTGACAGATAAAAAAATAAATATGAATTTGCATCACAAGTGTTTTGGTGGGAAAAACAAAAATCACATTGATGATATAGAAATCTCAAAAACGTACAAATTCTCATATATCTAATAATTTACGACTACTTAATCCTACTACTACTTGTACTAATAATAGTCTATGCACATTCTTGCTTTTTCATCACTAACAGTAGCAATAGAAGCAGAAAAACATAATAAAAACATACATGGGTTGCTTCTTCCTTTCTCAGATTGTAACAAACACCGTTGTCTTTGGTTGTCACTGCCTCCAAAAAATGCGTAATTTAAACTGTTAACATGAACCTCGTTTAACAAAGCTCATCCAAGTCTGTGCAGAGTACAGGGTCCTCTTCCAGACTGCAGAGTAAGCAACAACTGAGTTTGTTAACCCCGAGATAAGAGAAAGTGAGCAACTGATGCAACAGGCTAAATTCAACAAATAATATTTGAGCTCACATATCCAGTCACATCATTAGACAGATAACAAGCTACAAGCTAATTTTCATTTAAAGGAGTCATCACCCAGTTCAGAATAAACTGACTTGTTTGTTGCAGCAGTGTGCCGGGACACTGACAAAAAATGATCAGACAAAAGCAGGTTCCAAGGAAATACTATTAAGTATTCACTGTTTCTGTGAAAAGTTACGTCGTGATTTTTCAGATTAAAAAAAAATAAACAAATGAATAAATAAATAAATCCAGAATTTCAAGTTTCAAGTTGTTCATCTGTGGGAGTAGTACAATTATTATTATTATTATTATTATTATTATTATTATTATTATTATTATTATTATTATTATTATTATTATTAAATTCAAATTCAAATTTTATTTGTCACGTACACAGTCATACACAGTACGATATGTAGTGAAATGCTTGGACAACTGCTCGTGACCTAAAGAAAACAAAAAAGGAAAAGGCTATGAATAAGATAGGAAATAAATAAATATGAAAAATTAAAAAGGGTAAATTATTATTATTATTATTATTTATTTAATTTTTACAGTTGTGACTCCTGATTTGTATTTTCGGTCTTTTGTGAAGTCATGAACTCCCTCAGTTCTCTATAGGGATTGAACTTTTATAACTCCAGCAGTTTTGCCTATGTTGCACTAACCAGGGAGCAGCAGTATTGGGTCCTGGATTCGTGGGAATTCTGTTTATCTCGCTTACACCAAATCATTCTGATATCACCAAAAATGAGCTTAGAGGCACGGTGTGTAAAATCTCAGCACTGGCAGTAGAGTGCTGTTAGCCTCTTGTTTTAGGCAGCATTAGAGAAACCTTCTATGACGTGGATCCAACATAACTGCACTTGGAAACTTAGCAAAGAAACCTTCGTGCTATGAGAGAATGTATTCAAACAATTTATCAGAGGGAAAGTGTGATTTTTTCAGACACTGGAACCTAGCATTAGCTGGCATCATGTTAGCTTATAAGCAGCTGTTGTTATTAAAACTGTTTATTGTCAGCTGTTAAAAGAGGGGAGAGTCGCATGTGTAACTGCGACAATATATGGGGAAAAAAAAAGCTTGCTTATTTATGTTTTTATTTGTTACTGCATATGTGGTCAGTCTCTAGCTACATACATAAAACAAAATTAGGAGTAGGAGAATAGACGAATGTTGGCTTTATATTTTTGTACAATAAACAACTGTAAGACAGAAAATGTTTATTTGAAATACACAAACCTAGAGTGCAATAAAGCATGTGTACTCAAGTTCAGAGATGAGTGTTTGA